AAAAGGGGGGATAAAATAAGACAAAAAAAAGAAAAGAAATAGTACATACCTGAGGAATGACCTCTCTAACTGGCTCACTGACTAACTTCAATGGAGATCCTAACGAAGATGGCCCAACAGAGCGTTTCATAACACGAGGTGAACCAGAACTACTCCGCGGAGAAAGTGGAGGAGCACTACCTGCAGGAAACATGGAAGGCAAGGAATTGCTTGCAGTGGCATTTGCACTGCTGGAGTTGCCTGGAACATTCAAGGGAGTGCTTGATTTTGCTTCATCAAGCAGCGATTTTACCTGTTTGCAAAATTTACTAGTGAGTAACATCAGAGAGAGAAACTCAGAAAACGATCGAGATCATCTTCAGAATAGAAAGTTATTACATCAGGAAAACATCACTTTCACAATGCCAACAACTAAGACAACACATCAGGAGAATATATGTCTCCACACATTAATATGAAAACAAAGTAAACTCTAAAAATAGTAATTTGCAGATGAAACTCGTAGAAGTTTAGGCTTCAACTACATGAAGCAAATGAGAGAAAAATGCAAGAAAAAACCGAACAGCTTTCAAATTGAGAAAGTCAAGGAGGTGAATTACGGACATCCATGATCTTCTCAAAAGTTCACTAGCATATTAGGCAAAAAACTACCTATCAAAAGAAGAATTAGTCTTAACAGCATATGTATTTTTTTAAAAAAACTACTATATCTTTACATTTTAGCAGTAATGCTAAAAAATAGTAAATCATCTCTAAGATTCCAGAAAATGACTCTCAAAATCAGGATTGTTGACCTGAATCATGAACATCAACATACAAAGTCTTCCAATGGAGGGAAAGAATTCACTCATCCAACTCATACCACAGATCCCACTGTAACCAAACATGTCAAATGCTTCACTCACATCCCTAAAAAACATGTTGGAATTAAATCTTCAATAGATGTGAATTATCTAGAGCCCATTTAGTACACTTGCAATCTTCCATGGTCCAGAAGAAGACCTGTTTACCATCCAATCATCTTTCAGGAGTCCCATTCCAATTGTTTGGGGTTCAGAATGAGAATAAAAAAATAAGTCCACAAAGTGCTGTCCTGATCACATACTACACGGAACTACAAATCCCATTGAACTTCACAAGCCCTTTTCACTTCACTAAACAGTACACCAATCCCGCTAAACCTGAAGTCCTGAATGATTAATGGAGTATCATCAATGTTTAAGTTTCATCAATGTCCCCCCAACCCGCAGCACAAAAAACAAAAAAAACATAAAAAAAGAAAAGAAAAACACAAACAAATCCAGTGCTACATGGATATCAACACCAGTGATGTGTCTAAATCTAGTACTTCAACACTAAAAGCGGAACGGCAAGGCACATTTGTACAAGCATTATTTGAATAAATAGTATAGTGATTGTTTAGACACACACACACAGTAGTTGCTGCATTTTTAAGCAGTAGGTCCCACATTCAAATCTTAGGGGCCCTCTTCCAACTCTTTTACAGAGTGTGCAGTGTCCACAGGCATCAACAGACTAACACAGAACCCACTACAGTCTCTCTGTCTAGTACCCACGAGATATATTTCGCCTTCACACTCTCTTTCGCCACTGTCATCCTTGCCCTCAGTTGCAAAAAATTGAAGTGTTTCAGTCCCCACAACTGGACCAAAAGCTCCAACTGTAGTTAAGCCTCTAAAAACACAACCTCAACCCAAAAGTAAGCCAACAAATAAACCAATGCATCACAGGCAATATAAAGAGGCCAATTAATTCCAAGAGAGTACAAACTATCTAGAAGCACCGGATTCAAAGATTGAAGAAGCCTTTCATCCCTCAAACTGTGCAAGAACTTAGAATACATTTTCACCCTTCTGTTCATGGATAAACCTAGGAAGCCATAGGAATAGCTCTTTGAGATATGGATTTGAGAAAGAAAGCAGAAAACTAACAAATTCCAAATGAAGCACAAGCACAGGTTGAAGGAAACCTCAGTTTCATTCCCAAAAGCCCAAACTAAGGCTCCAAGCTTAGTTTTTAAATCTCATTCTTTGTTCCTTAAAACTCACATGAACGACCCTGGTCTTTCACGAACCTTTATTTATATTTTTAAGTGGGGTACAAAAGTCCAAACTAACCTTAGCCAAAATAAAATTGACTTGATAGCCAAAACTAAGTCCCAACTTAACCACAAAATTTATAATAATATTTTTACTGCTCAAAATAATCCAAGAAAATAGAGATTGGGAAGATGTCGCACATAATTCAAGAAAATAGAGATTGGGGAAGATGTCGCACATAGAATTAGAGCTGGGTGGGTCGAATGAACATGTGCAACCAGACTTTTACATGATCGCCACATACCAATGAAGCTAATAGGAAAGTCTATAGGACAGTTGTGAGACTAGCTTTACTTTATGAGGCAAAATGTTGGGCGGTCAAAAAACAACATAACCATAGAACGAGTGTAGCTGAGATGAAGATGTTGAGATGGATGAGTGCCAAGATAAGAAGGAATAGAATTCAAAGTTAATACATTTGGGAGAATTTAGGTGTAGCACCAATAGGCGATATGACAAGAGAAAGTAGACTTTGGTGGCCTGGCCATGTGTGGCGTAGACCCAGTACAGCGCCTGTTAGGAGCTGTGAGTTAGTTCAAGTGGAAAGCTCAAAAAGGGCAAGGGGTAGGTCCAAAAGGATGGGGTTGGAAGTAGTGAGAAAAGACTTGGGGCCTTTGGCCTCACTTAGGGTATGGCCCTTAATAGAGCATAATTGTAGACCAAGATTTGTGTAGCCGACCCAATTAATTGGAAAAAAGCTTTGCTGATGATGATAAAACTAAAATATTTCATAAACATTCAAAGTACTTTTTTGAACGAATCCTAAAATCCCATACAAATAAAAAAAAAAACCCTATAATCCTTAAAAGAACTAAATAATCCTAACAATAAACCCTAAAATTAAAATACCACCCATTGTAATTAAATAAAAACTAAAAATAAAATAATTTTGTCCTATATTAGACTGCCTTAATTGGAGAAAACTCTTCCTCGAGTTTTGAAGTGTGCTAAGATGAATTCAGCATCAAAACCACCTTATTCAACCTTCTTCCTAAGTTCCTCAAAGATTATTTGCACTAAAAGAATTCCTCAAGAAAATGGATCTTAAAATATATAATGAGGAATCGAAATCAATACAAATTTATCAAACTCGACAACTGATAAAAAATTCGACTGCCTAGGGGGCTAGGCACAAAGTGGCCTTATTGCACAACATAGGGCCTAGGCAAGACCCTATGCAATGTTGTTGTCAAGCACCCACCTAGGTAGCCCAATGGTTGCCCTCAGCCAAGGGTGATAAACCTATGCAATGTTGTTGTCGAGCACCCGCCTAGGTAGCCCAATGGTTGCCCTTGGCCAAGGGTCATAAAAGACCCTCAGTTGACGGCAAAAATGGTCATACCCCCCACCCCCACCGAACCCAAAGAAAAGAAAGTGTTTTGAGAGGCTGGTGTATTTCTTTTCTTGGTTTAGGGTTTTGTAATGTTTATGAAAAGTTGGTTGATGATTCATTGTACTTTTAAATTTGCTTAATCTTTAGCTTAAATCATATATCTATTAATGTGTAGGTTTTAATTTGAATTTTTGACATTTATTTTAGAATTTTTTTTTTCTTGAGCATGCTAGGTTTTGTTCTTCCTTGGATTGTCGAAATATTGAAATAGGCAATATATTTAATTTTACACTTTATTGCCCATTTGTAAGTTTTTGGATGATCAATTTTTTATATTTAATATGACATTAGTGGCTCTTGCATATTTCGGTGATTGTGATTTATGTTATTGATTCAATAATGTGTTTGAGTTGTCCATTTACACTACAGAGTTATTTAGTAAACTATTATATAGGAAATAAATACCCCACCTTAATTGGGTTGTATTCCTTACTGAATATGTGTGAAATTAATAGGTGTCGAAGAACTAGGCAGTGATATTTTAAAATGAGAAAATAGACTTCTTTAGGGATAAATTAGGTAAAGAAAGAAATTAGAACTCTGAACATGAGGTCAATGTTATGTGGAATGAAATGGCTAACTGTACTAAGAAAGTGGCAAAAGAAGTTTTAGGGGAAACTAGGGGGGAAAAAAATTCCGATAAAGAAACTTGGTGGAGTAATGAAATTCATAAGGCAATTAGTGAAAAGCGATCATGTTCTAAAATTTGGCAACGTAAATAGAAATGAGCAAAACTTAGAAGACTATAAAAATACCAAGAAGGACGCTTAACAAATAGTAAGTAATGCTAAACTTAAGGCATATGTCTATACAGTAGAATACAAACAAGAAAAGTCAAAAAATGTCTTCTAATTAGAAAAAATGAGAGAGAAGAAGTGTAGGGATCTAGATCATACTAAATGCGTAAAGGAGGAGGATCAAAGGGTCTTAATGAAGGATGAAGAGGTCAACAAAAAGGGGAGAGTTTATTTTAAAAAATAATTAAATAATAAACACAATGAGAACATACTTGTAGAATGAATCGTTGGCATAAATGAGAGCGGTGGTCAGCACATTTGTAGGATTATGATATCGAAAGTGACATAAGCTTTGAAGATGATGAAAATAGGAAAGGCTTTTAGACCAAATGGTATCCCGATAGAGGTTTGGAAGTGCATGGGGGAGATCGACATTGACTGGTTGACCAAGTTGTTCAACAAGATGCTAAGAATAAAGAAAATGCTAGATGAATGGAGGAAAACTATTGTCGTACCTATTTACAAAAACAAAGGAGACATACATAAGTGTGCAAACGATCAAGGGATCAAACTTATGAGTCACGCCATGAAACTGTGGGAGAGACAGATTGAGCAACGACTAAGGCATAAAATGAATGTATCAAAAAACCAATTCGGTTTTACGCCAAAGAAGCCAACAACTGATGATATTTTCCTACTTAGACAATTGATTGAGAAGTTAAGGGCAAAGAGAAAAGACCTCCACATGGCTTTTATTGATCTAGAAAAATCTTATGATAGAGTACCTCGAGATTTAATTTTGTGGGTGTTGGAAAAGAAAATAGTCTTCAGATACTACATTGACTTGGTGAGAGATATGTAAGAGGAAGTACTAACTATTGTGCGAACAACTAGTCGAGAGATAAGTGAGTTTTCAGTGACAATAAATCTACATCAGGGATCAACAGTGAGCTCATTCCTCTTTGTCTTAGTTATGGACAACTTAACTAGGCTTCTACAAGATGAGGTACAGTGGTGTATGTTGACAACGTATATGGAATGCAAGTTTAGTGATAATAGGAGTAGAGGGGAGAAAGTAATTAAGATTGATGGCCAAAAAATACCAAAAAGAGTATGCTTTCAATATCTTGGGTAGATCATCCATGAAAATAGAGAGATTGAAGAAGATGTCACACATATAATTAGAGCTGGGTGGGGAAAGAGGAATGTGCAACTGGAGTTGTATGTGATTGTCGCATACCAATGAAGCTGAAAGGTAAGTTCAATTAGACAGCTATAAGGCCAACTTTACTTTATGGGGTAGAATGTTAAGTGTTCAAGAAGCAATACACCTATAGGATGATTGCAACTGAGATGAAGATGTTGAAATGGATGAGTGACAAGACAAGAAGGGATAGAATTCGAAATAAATACATTCGAAAGAACTTAGGCGTGGCATCAATAGGCAATAACATGAAAGAAAATACCTTAGGGTTAGGAGGTACAAGAAGTCGGTTCAAGTGAAAGGTACAAAAAAAGGAATGAGTAGGCTCAAAATGACGTGATTGGAAATAATGAGAAAATATATGGAGACTTATAGCCTCACTGAGGGTATGGCATTAATAGAGAAAAATAGCGGACTAGGATTTGTGTAGCCGACCCCAAATAGTTGGGAAAAGATCCTGAGGATGATGATGGTGATTCCTTACTCAATATTTGGGTAGTTTAAATTTTATTTTGTAAATTAATTTGAATTTTGTGGATTTATCTAGACATTGAACTTGTCATAAAGTATTCAAGTTTGTTTTTGGCGGTTTTGTGTAATTTTCAGGTTTAGGTGATATTTGAGGGCTCTAGATGACAATGACTTCTTCAAGTTCATATAAAAAAGTTTATCCGGGTTGGAAATATGGATTTTGTCCCAATGCTATAACGAGACAAGGTAGCTTGCATGTTTTGTAAAAGGAGCATAATGTTGGCATTAATCAATTGAAGAAGCATTTGGCCAACGTTAGGGGGGATGTAGCCCCATGTACTCAAGTGCTTGGAGATGAAAGGAAAGAGATGATAGATCATTTACAAAGGGGCCAAAAGAAGAGGGAAGAGGCAAAGAAAAAATATGAAGACATCATGAGATTTGTATATACTTTTGGAAAAGAAGAAGATGAAGATGACTATGCAAAGGAAGGGGGCTCCATTTCTAGACCAAGCACAGCCTTGAAGAAGGGGACTTATTGATTCTTATTTCCCCCATCCGATCCAGAGATGGCAGTTAGAGAAAGGGCACATACTAGTTCAGTGATCCATTCTAAGAAGAAGGATAGGGATTAAGTCTCTCAAAATGTAGCATGATGGTATTATCAAACTGGAATGCCATTCAAAATTGCTAGTTTGAAGAGCTTTCAAGCTATGTTGGAGGCAGTGGGGTAGTTTAGGCCAAGATATACGGCCCCTACACCTTATGAGCTCAAGGTTACGTTGTTGAAAGAAGAGGTAGAGCTCACAAATGAATACCTTAATACCCACAAGGATGCATGGGGAAGGAGCGGCGGGAAAATTCTTCAGCCCCTAATACTTAGTTACAAACTCTCCCACTTGACCATGTCATATTTAACACTCGCATTGCCATTTCATAAAACCATCTCTCTGTCAATTCTCTAAAAAATCTCAACCAATCCAACCACAATCTAGAAACAATATGAGTTAGAAATTCTAGGAAACAATGTTTTCCATTTAACAGGTCTTAATTATGCTATTATTTAGAATGAAGGTACATGTTGTTCTCAATTCTCCTTAATTTCTTATGAGATATATTCTCCATTCCATTTTCCACACCCTTACCAAGTTGCTATGATGTGGATACTATGCAAAAGACTTCCCTATAGACTCTTTCTGAAGCATAAAGACTAAAAAGATCAACAAGAATATATGAACAAGGAAAATTCAAGCAATAACAAGTAGAATAGTGTCATATTAATTTATTCATCTAAATAAAATGGTTTTGAAGTGGCAAAATCTCTCACTTGCACGTAAAGGTAAAACCTTTAAGAATTAGTCTCCAGGGGGGCACTAGGTAGCAAACCACAACACATGTAACATGAATCTATACATGTCCCTAGAAGAACTGATACTCCATTTTGGGAAACCATGACCAATAATCCGACAAAATGATTAACTCTACATGAATTAACAACTCTTAACCATCAATTTATTCTTGACAAAGCACTTGACCCATTTCTATGAATAGCCATAAATTACAACCACATCTAAGTGCACTGATCAAGCACTCTGTACTGAGAGGATGGTTGTTTCTAGTCAAAATTTAATTTTAGGTAAAACAGTTGTTCCGCATCAGACAAATTAGTATGTTACATTTCTTCAAGCATGCAAATATTCATACATATGTGAAATGTGATACTCACTGGGAACATGTAGCTAATAATCAAATGTAAAGATGAGTACAACTAAATGTACTAATTATAAACAGAACCAAAACCATTATAAATAACAACCCAAAATGATTTTGAACCTAAACTAAACTCATTATCGTAATTACAATTCCCAGCTATTCCATCAGATAAATTTACACTTAGTACTAAAGCAGGCAGTGCTTCAGATGAATGACTAAACATTTATATGGACAAAGACTGTTTCATCAAACCAAATCATCGAAAACCACACCATGCATGCGACATATTACCTTACTCAAATGCCAAAATCTAAACTTCAAACAAAGAAGCAATACAAATATCTATAACCCAAATAAGAAAGACAGCCTATAAACCCGCCCAGTTATTGTAAATTCCTTTAATCTACAATTAGTTGTGATAAATAAAAAATAAAGATGATAAAAATAACTCAGCAATCATACCATCTCAATTTTGGAGTTCAGAAACCCAAACAAAGAAAATCAAATTACAAAAAAAAAACTAAAATACGCTATGTAAGACAATAAATTTTACATACAAATGCAATCAATAAAACAAAAAACTGCATATCTAAGGGAAACGCATAAACTGTATTTTCAAATTAAAGGTGAAGGACGAGTACCAATCGACTGGTGTCAGGAAGAGAGAGCCATTGAGAATACAATTCATCAATCAAGTCCCTGTTTGACTTCAAGGCCAAAGGCGAGACTTCAGCCAACTGTAACAAGTCCGGGTCTATAGAACCCACATCCCCTGAAACTTCCATATCCATAAAATCCTCTGTTTCTCGTTCTATCAAATCCAAGTCTCATGCAAGAGAGAGAAAAATAATAATTTCCCGGTAAAGGACACAATCTTCAAGCTGCAAAGCCCATGAAACCCTAGATCCCCAACAGATTCACCAGAGAGTCGAATTTTAACCCCTCCTCCTGGCCCAAGACCCTAAAATCGAGCTTAATATGAGTAAGAAGAAAAGTCCAGCTCCACAAAAGAAAAATCCCTGGATCGTCACAGTTTCTTCTGCACATTCACAGGAAACTCGATACAATCCAAACCCTAGATCTTAGACAACTTCAAAAATTGAGGAATCACGATTCTAGCAGGAAAAAACCAATCTTTCTCTCTCTAACAATTAGAAGGAAATCACCTCTCCCTCTCTCTCTCTCTCTAAAGCTTAGCAGAGGAGCAAGTCTCTCTCTCTCCCTCTCTAACGGGAGACTCTCGCACTATATAGAAATGAAAAATGCAGGGGATTAATTAATGACCAAATTAAGCAACTAATTGCGGGAGTGCCCCCTCTTCTTAAATGCGTGGCCGCGCTCGGGAGGGGAGAATAGCTAAAATACCCCTATGTCTTTGCAAAATGACGAAATTTGTCCCTGAATGCTTTGGTTCGATAATCATGATTACCTCGAGCTTAATTAAGAACGATGGGACTAAGGACATAGACGAAACTACTCCTGATTGGATTACACCTGCCCAAAATGCCCCACCAAAAGAAATATATTAGGTTTCTTTTTTTTCTTTCAATTGAATCTCAAAAAAAATTATTTTCTTAAGATTTTTTTTGTTCCCTCTTTTGGAAGGGGATCTTATATGTCATGAAAAAAATTACAAATTCATAATCACTCATACTTGTTAGATGTAAAAAGATATGTCTTTTCTCCATTCAAAGTTTGAAAACAACATTTCAAAATTTGAACACAATCTATAACTCCTTCCTAACCACCCAATCTTATATTAAAGATTAAAAGATCTGATTCTACACTTCCCTTATAACATATCATACAAATCACCAACGAGTGCCCATGGAAATTTCAATATGATTACAAATATGATATCTCTTTATTTTTATCTTTTGTATAAGTCTTTATTAGCTCAATTTTCTCTTTGGCAAAAAAAAAAAAGACAAGAAGAAAAACTGTGACTTTTGAAGTTGGTCAAAGTTTGTGATTGTCAAGTTGTTCAAATGCTACAAAATACCCAAAAAAAAAAAAAAGGATAAAATCTTTGAATTCATCTCATTTGGACATGGATTCATGGCCTTAATTGCTGAGTCACACTACACTTAACAAAAACAAAAAGAACATAAATATTTGTCAAAATACACTTAACATATAAGATATTTAACATTTACGATATAAGATATTTAACATTTTATCCTCTTCCGCTATTGCAACTTAAAACCGTACGTATTTTCCTGTTACTTAAAACTATATATATTTTCCTATAATAAGAAAATACATATAATTTTAAGATGCAATAGCCGAAGAGGGTAAAATGTTAAATACTTGAGAAATTAAGGTCTATATAAATTTCTCAAAAGAGAAAAGTGATTTGGGCATATTTGGCCGATATTGGAAAACATGGGGCTACTGAACAATTACACCATTTCTATTTCTGATATTATATCCATTTCGGACATTCTCATATGGAATGGTATTATCCACGCATTAGGCTTTCCAAAATTTAGAGCATAGCAGGCTTTTACGCAAAGTGGCAGCAAAGTGTTTAACAAGCAGGAATTGGGTGCCAAATCAGAACTTGCTGATTCGAGTCACATCGATAACTTCGAGGTGGCTCACCGATTCTCAAGTCGGCTCACCAATTAGAGGCAACCAGTATCGATGACAAAAAATAAAAATGGAAAAAATACTGAAAAAAAATATTACTCCAAAATTCCCAAAATTGCACAAGCTTATGCAATGAACCTAGTTCACTGCCAGGAAGCAACGTTCACAACACCCACATTCCAAAGGATGGAACTCTCTTGGTTTGGGCCTACTTGAGTGATTCAGCATGAGATCCCAATTCCGAATAACCCAAGCAGGACTGGCATCCCAACCCCAACCCCAACCCCAGCCCCAGCCCCAGCCCCAGCCCCAGCCAATTGAAGCGATTCCGAATACGCTCACCAATTTTCCTTTTTTTTGACAAATAAATCGGCAGCCAATTGAAGCGATTCCGAATACGCTCACCAATTTTCCTTTTTTTTGACAAATAAATCGGCTCACCAATTTTCCAACCACTGCACCAAACTAAACACATACAAATGTACTAACATCCTGTTACCTTGGCATAAAGATAATAGCATCGTTCCCATGCTACCGAAGAGGTCAAAATTTCAAATCCAAGCCACCCCCTCTCTCTAAGGAGGTGCCTTCTGCCAATTCAAATTGAAGGAGGACCATGAACGATAGAGAGGCGGTCACCAACCACACAGACCAAGAGATATGAACGCGGTCTTAATGCATGGATCTCTCACTACCTTGTAGCAAAGTCATCATGAATAGAGACCAAAAGAGACACAATAGCCACCTTTTGAGAATATCATGCAATGTTTCTTTCATGCCCTTGTACCTAGTCACCGTTCATAGAGACCACAGAGATAACATAGAGAACACATATGTGGTCTTCATGGAATTCATAGTCGCTTTCAGTAAACAAGCCTCTCTCTCTCTCACAGATTTCGAAGCGCCTTTTTTAAGTTCAAATTAGAGGCCCTCTCTCTTTCACTCGTTGCTTTTGACGCATCTCCTTTTAAATTCAAATTAGAGGGTGAACCAAAAATTACAACCCACAATCGAGCACGACACATTAAACGGTTTGCATCGAAATACAGCATTCTAGCATTCGAGATGTTTCACCATCTTGAAGCAAGCATTAAGACAATGGTAACAGAGCTATCTTAATAAAGGGTGGTGAGAGCTCTTTCCATTAGAGGAACAAATGAAATCTCCCTATAAAGCTCCAAAGCATTTCCAAAATATAAACATAAAGAAAAAAAGCATGTCCATGATTCTGTAATAGTAATAACAATAGCATCATCCTCATCAAAGTAAAAAGAATATTGATAATGAAAGTCCAGCCTTCTACAACACCATAAAGTCCCATATATCAACAATTCCCCCTTTATATTTGGAAAAAATAATAAAAAGGTAAAAAGAAAAATTATATAATTCCAGTCAGCCTACGACATGATACCAGCTCCTTGGGCCCTTGGACAAGATGCAATGAGAGAGAGAGAGAGCCTTTGGCCAAGATGCAATGAGAGAGAGAGAGACCTCCAATGGAATTTGCATTTACACATTACCATGAGGGAAATAAAGGCCGTATAGACAGGAAATCACAAGGGCTATTAGCCCCCCTGCAGAGAGAGAGAATGGTTTACCACATTGAAATCTATCACCCTCTCCTCTTTATTTCTTCTTGTCCGTGCCCACTGACAGAAGCTCGAGGCTCCGAACAGGGTCATCACTGCGAGAGGTTCTCCCAAGAGCGTTTCTAGATAGAGATGAGGGCTTCGGATCAAATCCAGGGAGGGGCCTGCTATGGCCATGGCTGCCTGAGGGGCGGCTGCTTCCTGAGATGAGGCGTGATGTCCTGCCAAGAGACTGGTCTACAACGGCCTCCCCAGAGGAACTTGGCCTGCCGGCAGAGGCCACGGCACGCTTCGACGTGCTGCCATTCCTTGATGAAGAAGGGCGGCTCCTATCTGCAACATCCTGTAGGCCAAAATCTCGCTTTAGATTAAATGTTGACAGGTCACTCTCTCTCTCTCTCTCTCTCACACACACACACACACACACAATACAGACCATTCACACAAGCATGACCCAATATATAAAATCTCACCGTTGCAATACTATCACTCTCCAATGCCTTATGTTTGGAGTGATCACCATGCGCACCAGAGCCTGAACCGTTTCTGCGAGTAAAAGCCTCAACAGCACCCGAGAATCTCTCCCTAAGCTCCTGTCCCACTACAGAAGACAAAGAAAAGGCAAAAACCTAAAGTAAGCCATGAGAGACGAAGCATATTTTGACAAAAGAAGCTAGAGGACCAGGATTGAAAATCCTCGTTGCCATTGAATTTTGAGGGCGAAGTTAACTGATGTTTGTTATTAATAAAATCCTAGTTTATTTTATTAATAAATAAAATAATTTTCTGCCAAAATCAATTCCCCAGGTAGGGAACCCTTTCTGCTGAACAAACCAAAAAAAATGAAAATAAAAAAAAATAATTTCTGCCATATGTTTGAATATTGAAACCAAATATTAGCTGATATTTGTTCTAAACAAAAGAAAGCAAGAATAAGTCGAACCTGAAATTCTTTCTGGCCTTTCTGTTGAGGGGCCCACTCCTGGTTTCCCACTGGCAAGTCCAGGCTGCTAGAGAGAGAAGCAGATATTAGGTATGAATGATGGTCCAGAAAGCTATCAATTCTTTCAGTAATATGACTACCTTATCCCACAAATCTCAAGAAAGAGAAATCAGATCATACATACATCAAATTTCTATAATAAACTTACACGAGTCCTCGAGCTCGAGCTAATTTGGGGGTATTTCAATATTGTCCAATCAAACACATAATCAAACTGACAACCTGCAGCCCCAGAATATTATGATAAATGGGCATTATAAATGAAAGTAAAATACATATTAAGGAAGGCAAATTACAAAATCATTTAGGAAGTGAGATTTATAAATAACCCAATTTGTAAAGTGTGTGCACAACAAATATATTTGAATATGCTCAGAGTCTAGCAGACTTAGTTAACTTACCTCTACTCCAGATCGTATTTGCCATGTAATTTGTTATTTGCAAATGGAAACAACAAAGTTACAATAAAGCAAAGGGCTGACATTCTAAGGATATCAGCCGTAATGAAGCACTAGATGTATTACATGGCAAGTGCCAACATAACTACAGCTCTATACTTCATCTTCATCACCCACCCCACAACCAACCCCAACCCCCCCCCCCCCCACCTCCGCCCAACAAGAAAAAAACCACCATTTTAATGGAAACTATCCCCATCCTAAAAAAGGTATAAAACAAAGGACCCATTTGGTTCCCTAAAACAAATATTTCTTGAAAATTCCGAGGGAGAGATGATTGAGGGATGGCGTCTGTACAAGAGAGATGATTGGGCGCAAAGAAGACTCATTTTTGAGAAGTAAATGTCCCACCTCTTTAGTTGGAAGGTCCTTTCCCCAAAAATGAGGGAAAAAACAAAATGCCAGGAAGAATCTCCCCCAATGTGGGTGTCATCCATTACAAATCATTGGAGATGCCTAATTTCTAACAAGAAATATCTTGGAAATTAATTTTCCAGGACCCAAACTGGCCCAAAGAGCAGGACATGTTACATCCAAAAATCTTGAGTAGGTTAACTAATTCATCATTCTACTAGCCCAAATGCTTACCTTCTCGAATAAAGAGATCCCGGAAAAGCCTCTTCAAATATGAGTAATCTGGTTTGTCTTCAAACCGCAAGGAGCGACAGTAGTGGAAATATGATATAAATTCTGATGGGTGGGACTTGCAGAGCACCTGTTTAAGAATCACACATAAAACTCAAGCCAGGTACTAAAAGAGTTCTAAATTTACAAGTAAAAGAGAAAAAAAATTATGAAAGATGCTACTCAATTCAAAAAAAAAAAAGAAAAAACTTCACAATTTGTTACTCATATAGCCAAGAAAAAGGCAAAAAGAAAATGCCACAAATGAAATGTGAATCCTTCTTCACACAATGGAAAGGACCCCACATTGGCTTTCCTTTTCTTTTTACTAATGTATGCCAGTTTTCTTTCTGAAGAAAAACACGAAAAGATCAATTAGGAGAATAGTAAGGCAGCACCTCTATTGGGGTTAGCATTTTCTTTTCGCTGATTTTGTCATATTTTTGCTTTTTCGTACCAGCTTTCAGACCCTGCCAGGGGAGGCTGACACAAAGTAATCATACAAACATCATTAAACACTGCCTTCCTCATTTTGACGTACATTATGAAAGAAAGCATTACAAACATCAAACAATATCAAATAAAAAACTAGAAATATCATGGGCATGGTTATGATAAATATACCTGCCCCTCAAGAAATACATGAGGACATAACCAAGGGACTCCATGTCATCCCTCCTACTTTGTTCTAATAAGATGCAACACGAAAAAAACCATCGGTAAGACATCCAGAGGAAGAAGAAAAACCATCACCTAAGACTCTTGGAAAATCACAAATTGATGCATAGCTGGTAAAACTACTCACTCACCTACTCCAAGGTGAGTGTTAACACTTGCATATCGAGCAGTTCCAGTGAGATTCTTGTTTTCCCTGTGAAATCATCAAAAAATAATATAGGTAGAGGAAAAAGTATAAGCAAATAACTCAGGTGATTAAAAGACGAATAAGACATAGACCGACCTGTATGGTATGTGCTTGTAAGTGGTAAGGTCCCTGTATTTCTTTGCAAGGCCAAAGTCTATAACATACACCTGCATTAGAGGGTAATCCACAAACAAAAAATAAATGCAAACTTGAGTTCCAACTACAAAAGCCCACATGCAACGCAAATCAACAAAAATTTGTGCGACCATAAATGATAAGCAAGCATGCAACATGTATAGTGTGTGTTCGACCAGAAGATTTAGCACTCATAAATCAAAAGTTTCCCAAAACTTTGAACAAAGCGCAAACAAAAGTAGGCTACAGGGATAGTTTTACTTAAAATATTGAAGTTTTCCTTTCTTTACATGATAAACCAGAAGTTTCAATGTAAGGCAGCAAAACAAAAATCTGTGCAACCATAAATGATAAACAAGCATTGAACAAATAAGGAACCCACCAGTATTTATTCATGAGCTTCCTTCAATTTCTCTGACAATATCTTAATATTCACACCATGAAAAAAAGAAGAAAAATAGAATATGAGTTCAATGATTAGATGAGTGCAGTTAATTCAAATTCTTGTTAACTCAAATCCCTTCAGATATTTCTTTAATGCTTGGCATCATGCTCAAGACTAGTTTACTAGCACAAAGCAAAGCCATAACTTCCATAATTCAAGTACTAGTGGGCAGCTATGCTTGAACACGGCGTGAGATACTGAGAGAGAGAGAGAGAGAGAGAGAGAGAGAGAGAGAGAGAGAGAGATAGATAGATAGAGTAGAGGTGTCT